AATTCCCCAGCTCTGTCAATGTGTGTGTCCACAGCAACACTATTTTCTGAAAGTTTTGCTTAGGGAAAAATCCTCACCCTGCGTGTCCCAGCCCCAAAAACAAACCCCCAGGAGGGCAGAGGGGAGGGGAAGAACAGGGGGGTGGCTGATGGGGCTGGCACGGCAGAGCCCCGAGCTGAGCTTTGTGTCCGTGCCCACAGCGCCTCGCCAACTCCAAGGCCCACACCTCGCGTTTCATCAGCGCCAACCTGCCCTGCAACAAGTTCAAGAACCGCCTGGTGAACATCATGCCCTACGAGAGCACCCGCGTGTGCCTGCAGCCCATCCGCGGCGTCGAGGGCTCCGATTACATCAACGCCAGCTTCATCGACGGCTACAGGTACAGGCAGCACACCTGGGCCGGGCTGGGGCTGTCAGGGTCACGGTGTTAACCCTTTAGATGAGGCGGGAATAAGGCACAGAGTTACGTGGTCATCACTTGTAGGTGTGGGAAGGGGTTTGAACCCTTTGAGTGAGGCAGAAATAAGATGCACAGTTACGTGGGCGTCTGTCATGACAGGAAGAAAGAGACAAATTTATTCACAAACACACTTGGTTTTATAGCAGGACTGCAACTCCCAGAGCAGAGAAAAGGTGATTGGTTCAGAGAGAAGACACCCCATTGCCAGGGCCTGGGCACAAACCACAACAGGGGTTTGATTTTGTTATTAATTCCTTTTAATTTTGACCAGATTATCACCCTGGGAGAAATTCTCCCCAGCCTTGAGCTGGACCAGCTCATGGGCTGGGAACAGAGCTGAGAACCTCCAGCCTGGAATATTTTTCAGGCTGTAATTTTCTTACTTTCTCAATGTGTGTCCCACAGTCCTTCAGGATAGGAAGGAGACGAATTTATTCAAAAATACACTTTGCTTAAGTACAGTCTTCCAAAACTCAAAAGACAGGGTAAAGCAGGATTGGTGCAGAGAGAAGACACCTCTTTCCCAGGTTTGGTCACACACCAAAACAGATGTTCTATCTTTGTTGTTAATTCCTCTCTATTTTGGCTAAGTTATCATCCTGGGAGAAATTCTCCCTGGCCTTTAGTTGAACCAACTTATCAGCCTGAGAACAGAGCTGAGAAGCTCCAGCCTGGAAGATTTTCCAGGCTATAATTTTCCTAGCTCTGAGTGAGTGTCCACATGGACCCTGCTCAGGGAGCTCTGCTGGCCATCACCAGCACATAGGGCCAGAGATAAACCCCACCCCACCCCAAATGCAGCCTGCTGAGAGGATTCTCCCCTGTGCTTAAAATGACTGATCCCCTGAAGCAGCACAGCCCTTCCTCAGCTGCTGCTCCTGAGCACAGAGGGTCAGCCAGGGGTGCATTTTGGGAGGTTTCTAAATATAGATTGGCCTTTTTATTACCTTTGTGATCTGGGGGCATTGCAATCCCCAAAGGAAACTCCAGTCCTGGAAGCTGCAGCCCTCCATGGGTGGGTTTGGAGGGAACAAAGCAGCTCCATGTGCAGGTTTTCCTCCTGTCCAGGACCAGCAGTGCTGGCCACAGCTGTGGCACTGGGATTAGGGCAGCTCCATGCCTGGAGGTTGGATTTACCCCTCGGAAGTGATATTTAAGGAGAGCTTCACCATTGACTCCTTTTGACCACTGGCACCAAAGACATCCCAGCCCCTTTAGACCGTGTGCAGTTCCAGTCCTTCCCCACTCTCCAGCCTTGCCATGCATTCCCCAAAGCTGCTGCCCATGCAGTGCTGCCCCCCCTGACCCCTCCTCACTTTGGGCTCCCCAGGAAGCAGAAAGCCTACATAGCCACACAGGGGCCACTGGCCGAGACCACCGAGGATTTCTGGAGGATGCTCTGGGAAAACAACTCCACCATCGTCGTGATGCTGACAAAGCTTCGCGAGATGGGGCGGGTGAGTGGGGCTGAGCAGGGGCTGGGAGGGGAATCCTGCAGGACAGGGACTAACTGGGACTGACAGGGACTAACTGGGGCTGGGAGGGGAATCCTGCAGGACAGGGACTGACAGGGATCAGCTGGGACCAACTGAGACCAACAGGGATTGAGAGGGACCAACAAGAACCAACAGGGATTAACTGGGACCAACTGGGGCTGGGAGGGGAATCCTGCAGGGCAGGGACTGATAGGGATCGACTGGGACCATCAGGGGCTAACAGGGACTAACTGGGATCAACTGGGACCAACTGAGACCAACAGGGGCTGGGAGGGGAATCCTGCAGGACAGGGACTAACTGGGACTGACAGGGATCAACTGGGATCAACTGGGACCATAGGGGCTAACAGGGACTGACAGAGACTAACAGGGACCAACTGGGGCTGGGAGGGGAATCCTGCAGGACAGGGACTGACAGGGACCAACTGGGACAATCAGGGACTGACTGGGACTAACAGGGATTGACAGGGACCAGCTGGGACTGACAGGGATAACTGGGACCAACTGAGACCAACTGGGACTAACTGGAACTAACAGGGACTGACAGGGACCGACAGGGATTGGCAGGGACTAACTGGGACCAACAGGGACTGACAGGGATTGACAGGGACCAAAAGGGACCGACAGGGACCAACAGGCACTAACTGGGAATAACTGGGACTAACTGGGACCAACTGGGACCTGTTTCCTGGGCAGGAGAAGTGCCATCAGTACTGGCCCGCGGAGCGCTCGGCACGGTACCAGTACTTCGTCGTGGACCCCATGGCTGAGTACAACATGCCCCAGTACATCCTGAGGGAGTTCAAGGTCACAGATGCCAGGGTAGGTGCTGGTGTGGGCTGGGATGGGGCAGCTCAAACTGGGAGGAACGGGGCTGGCAGAAAACACAGGGTGTGGTGTCCACACGTTCTGTGGGATCGTCAGTGAGCTCACAGAACATCCTGGCTGGAAGGGACCCACAAGGATCATCGAGTCCAAACCCTGCACACAGCAAGGTGTGGGTCAGGCTCTGCTCCCAGGACAAGACAAAACAGCCTCAAGCTGTGCCAGGGGAGGTTCAGGTTGGACATCAGCAGGAATTTCTTCCTGGAAGCGTGGTCAGGTGGTGGAAGGGGCTGCCCAGGGAGGTTTGGGGTCCACGTGCCCCAGAGCTCAGTTGTGATGGGGAACAGAACACCCAACACAGATTGTACTGGAATATTTGTTCTTACAAATTGAAAGTCGTTTCAAACCTCTCTCACTGCCTTGAGTTGCTTTGATAGAGATGTGCCTGGCTTTGGGGTTTAGCTGCAGCTTATTTGAGGTGAAAGCAGAAAGTATTTTCCCCCAAAAGCTGATAAAAATCTCCCAAAGGTTTCTGTGCACCCTACAGAAAATAAGCATTGCTATGGCTGGGAGAGGAGCCACTGTCACTCATGTTCAAAGGGACACTCCAATAATCTTCGATTCAATGTCAGGTTTCTCATCCAAAGGAACATTTCTATACTTTCTCAAATTTCTGTAGCAAACATAACCCTCCCTGTCACAGCACAGCTTTTGAGGTTGCCAAACTATTCCAGAACCTGATAATTCAATTTGCAAGGTTGAGGAGGAGGATGCCTCATCAGTCCTCGTAGAACAAGATTTATCTTCCTGTCAGCTGTAATTCTGACACTGTGGCAATTCTTTGTGAAGATTGATTAGAGGGGCCAACACCTCACCTTGAACGTTCCTTTGCTGAAGACTCCATCTGTGCTGTCTGCAGTGGTCAGAGCTTTCAGCACCTGCCAGGATATGGATGTGTGCTGACAGCCTGACTCCAGGCACGTCAGCTGCAGCACAAGCAGCTTCATCACGGTGGGGCTGGGTAATAAATACGTGTGCACTTGGCTACAACACTGAGGTGCCTCAGCTTTTCATGCCCTTTTATCAAACCAGCAACAAAACCAGGGGAGTTTTCTGCCTTTTCTGCCTGTCCTCACAAGTGCAGGTGTTTGACTCTTCCTGTTGTGTCTGTCCCCCAGGATGGTCAGTCACGAACGGTTCGTCAGTTCCAGTTCACTGACTGGCCAGAACAAGGTGTGCCAAAATCAGGAGAAGGTTTTATCGACTTCATTGGGCAGGTACACAAGACCAAGGAGCAGTTTGGCCAGGATGGCCCCATCTCTGTCCACTGCAGGTAGGCACGTGGGCACCCCTCATCCATGGGATGGAAGGAGTTAAAATCCCCCCCTTTCCCACCCCTCCTTGCAGGGAGATTTCTTGGCAGTGTCGGTGCCAAACTCTTTCCTCTGCCAGCCAAACTCATCTCCCTTCAGCCCTGGCACTGCCCACAAGGCTTTTGAGCCTTTATATTTAGAGGAGAGGTTTGAAATACTCTGAAGGAGATGGGAACCACAGTGTTATCTATAGCATATCTATATAGAATATCTGTAATATTTGACCTGCAGAACTAGAAGCATTTTTTACCAGTCTCAGCCCAATTTACACCTCCAGCACTTCTGGGCTGTGTTTGCTGCTAGCAAGAATTGCACCTCCTTACCCGTAGGATGATCCATTCTTATTACAATCATTTAATTTCAAAAGCCCAGTATTACATATTAGGAATAATTCTTCCACTGAATCCTATTTACCACTACCCAAAGCTTTTAAACTTTTAAAATTTCCCTTTCTCAAACATTTTTTTTGGGTCACACTCTGGCACTTGGATTATTTCTGGAGCCTGACCCAGGCTCTCCACTCCCAACGCGTTCACAGGGTACAACTTAACCCCACCCCAAGCAGCATTTACAGGAACATTTGGGCACTGTAGCACACAATTCCCTGTTTGTTTGCTCCCTCCCTGCAGTGCTGGCGTGGGCAGGACCGGGGTGTTCATCACCCTGAGCATCGTGCTGGAGCGGATGCGCTACGAGGGCGTTGTAGATATTTTCCAGACAGTGAAGATGCTGCGAACACAACGACCTGCAATGGTGCAAACAGAGGTGAGGGGGCCCTGTCCTGTGCCAGGAATCATAAAATGGGTTGGGTTGGGTCGGTAATGGCTTCTAACCATTACCAAACTCTCACCTGAGCTCACTCAGCAAGCCCAGGCTGCACTGCTGACTTCACCTGAGAAATAGAAAATTATTTTTAAAAAATGACTCCTATTGTTAGAAAGCCTCTCAAAGATTCCATCACACTCTGGAGCCTCAATTCTTAGCCAAGAACAAGAACCTGGCTGTGGGGCTGGCAGGACAGTGGGGGATGTTCAGTACCTGAGAGGCACAGACATAAAGGGAAGAGCTGGGATTTCCCTCTCCCAGGGGTTCTCAGCTCTGTGAGAGTCACAGAGGTTCCTGCTCAGCTCTCTGTGCTGTCTGGAGAGCAGGACAGGGATCCTGGGGTGCCCATTCCCACCTCTGAGGCTGCTTCTCTTTGCTGTTGGCAGGATGAATACCAGTTCTGTTACCAGGCAGCTCTGGAGTATCTGGGAAGTTTTGATCACTATGCAACATAAAAAGCCATCGTTGTGCAGACTCTACCAACCACTTCAGTCCTGGAAGGCCTCTTCTGACCCAGGAGGAGAGCTTGAACTTACAAAACTGACTCAGAAGAAGAACCTTTTCATCTGGACAGTGCATCGGGAGCAGGGGGGAGGATTGGAAGGAACACCCCTTGGGGAACTCCAAGTTGTGACCTGGCCCTGCAGGGGCAGCTCGGGAGGGCTGCTCAGAACTGCTCTGGAACCTCAGGAGGTGTTTGCTGGGGAGGACAGATGGACACGGGGACACTGATCCAAAAGCTCCGACACACCTTGGGAACTGTTTCTGCTGGAGAAGGGAAGGAAAAACCGACTTTGGTTACATCATTAGAGTTCAGTTTCTTTACTAATATAGTTGGCAGTCTTTAAAGGAAGTCACTTGCAGAATTGAAGGTGTTCTGTGAAAGAAAAGGAAGAAATCTCAACACTTAGGCAAACTTAGGGTCAGGAGTTCTTCTAGCTGGAGTCTTAATAACCTCAGTATCAGCATTGGGATGATTCTGGGCTTGCAGGCACCTTGCAAACAGCATTCACGGGATGCCCCTGCCACGCCAGAGGTTTTATAGCTCACATTTTGAATACTTGGAACATTCCTCATTTCTTCTAATTCCAAAATTTATTTTTTAGGATATTTAAAAGGCTAGAGAAAGAGCGAGAGTGACAACCCCCAGAGCTGGCTGTGGGGGGCAGCCCCTCCCCTTGCTGGGGGCTGGGGTCTCTGGGGGTTCCTGGGCCCCTTCCCAGCACATCTGGCTTTCCTTGGAGCAGGGTGGGAGGAAATGCAGCCCCTTGCCCAGGCTCTTTGCA